CGACTTGGTTTCACCCCACAGTGAGCATCAGGTCTAATGGGCCGAGTCGGGATAGATCCTGGGAAGAGGTAGGGCTTAGGACTGGCAGCGTCCTGTCCATATGGAATGCGCACACTGAGCTGGGTCTGCCGTGGGCCTCCCGGTTTCGGGCCGGCTACAGCATCTGCATTTTGCTCTGGTGTTTCCAGCTTGTAGCAGCTGCCCTTTCCCGGTATTTCCACATGCAGCCTCATCCCATCCTCTGCGCTGTGGAGTCGGAGTGCTGTTTGGCTGCGACACGGCCCTAGCAGAAAATCAAGCTCCATGAGGGTCAAGTAGCTTGTCGAGTGCCACACTTAACAAAGGGTCAGAGTCTAGACTTACATCCCGATGCTCTCGCCAATTCCCACATTCCTGACACGCTGTGGTGACCCTATTGGCCATCTGCCAGGGGTGTCCAGGGACATTAACGTTGTGAACTCCCAGTCGTCGTCTGTTGGTCCACGTGAGTTCTTCCAACAGCACAGGGATGCCCGTGTCCCCGATCTGTGAACAGTGAAGCCGATTTACGCTGAAGTTTGCCCGGGGTCACCTAGACATGTAAGTGGGAGAATGGAGGTGATGGCAGTCCCAAGCCCGTCTGTCTTCACAGTCCTTGTCCTCTCTACTAGATCTGCAGGTCCGGGACTGGCCGCTTGACCTCTGTAGGACAGTGTCTTCTTACTGTGACAGGCTGAGTTTCTAGTGCACTGTGGTATTTGACTTGCCTCATGAAGTGCCAGGAATATCATCTTGTGGTATGAACACTAGACCCGGTCTCCTTAGTAACGTCATCCGGCCCAGGACCACTGTCCGCTCTCTGGGGTGAGGTGCTTAGCTTGTGTCTTCGTCCTTCCCTGGGGAGGGGAGACATGCCCAGTGGATCTTTGGTCTTTTTACAGTCGGGACTGACCTTCAGCTGAGCCATCTCGTTACAGAAAATGTCTTTAAAACAACAATGGCTAGAAAGAAAATATTTTGAAAATAATGATGGTAGCGTATGTACAAAAGTGCATGACAAAACGGATGTATATATGGATTGTGATAAGAGCTGTTAGAGCCCCCAATACAATGATTTTTTTTAAGTAACTATTAAAAAAAGAAGAATGGCTATGATCCAAACATTGAGTTGATGCAGACTCGGCGACCCTCTAGAACACGGTAGCACTGCCCATGTGAGTCTCCGCGACTAATTCTTTACAGGAGTAGAGAACCGTCTTTATCGCAAAAGAATGACTGTAGTCAGAACCTTATTCGACTTTCTTTTTTTGGGATTTTCTTCTAATCTTTAACTGCGTAATTTTATATTCATTTTATTCTCAGTTCACCTTTATATGCTTATGACATGGTATGTAACTTCGTTGGTTTTCTGTTTAAGTACATTGTTGTTGTGTGCCCAGTGCTGTCAAGTCGGTCATAGTGACCCTACATGGCAAAGTAGGATTTCCAAGACTGGAGTTTTTAGGAAGCAGGCAGCCTCATCTTTCTCCCATGGAGCAGTTGGTGGGTTTGAACCCCATCTGCTGGTTGGCAGTTTTATACTAAACCCACTGCACCAAGAGCCCTCTTCTTTCTTGTTTCCAGCTGGTCATTCTTACTGCACTGTGTGGAAAACCAGCTCTGGGTGTGTTTGGTGTTTGGTCTGCTCTTTGGGGAAGTGGTGGTGGTGGTGGTGGTTTGGGATTTTTGTGTGTACGCGCTTCACTTAGAATAGCTAGAATGGGATCCCTGTGTCTAATGCACTGGGCATTTAAGACTTGGCATACTTAACCACCAAATTGTTTTCTAAGAGTGATTGTGTTCATGCTGTTATCCCAGGCACGCTGAAGTAAAAACATAGTCCTCTACTTAAAACACACACAATCTGCATGTTATGTTGGGGGCACGTGACGAACATTAAATCCCGTGGGACCTACCCTAGAGGCTGCTCACGGGGAGCTGGTGTCGGGGTGGGAAACAGATTGTTCCGGTGTTGAATTCAGCTGGTGGTGCTGAGAGGCAGCAGTGGAGCGCAGGAGCTCTTGTCCACGGAGTGGAGACCTGGCTCCTGGGCCACACACAGCCTTCTGGGTTGCAGTTGCCTCTGGTAAGAGGAGGAGAATACTACCTGCCGCCTCTCATCCGTCCTCCTGCTGAGGCTGACTGGCATCGTCTCTGAAGAAAGCAGGCCACCTTCTATGGGCTACTTCACTGTTTGTTTCTTAGTAGGACTTGACACCCTTCCTTGATCCTGTGTGGCTCCCCCCACCCACAGCACTTTCTAAAAACACGTTGTGGACTGCTGTTGCATTGGGAGGTTCAGAACTTACTCCGTGGCCTCCTGACTATCAGGCTTTGAAGGAAAGGTAGTAAAACTAACCTGAAGGTGGGCCCACCTCTCTTCTCAAACGGCCTGTGTGAACCAAGATCCCATTGTCCATTAGACAGACTTGGCGGCTACCCCCACCCCCAGCCACTGATGCCATAGACCTTGGGTAATTCCTCCTTCCCACCCTTGAACACAGTGCCTGGGGAGGTGTTGCCAGTGCTTCTCGTGGTTAAATAGAAACCAAAAACCAGGGGATCCAAGCCAGACTATCATGATTTCCATGAAAACACATGTTCCGGGTTCTCTGGAAGTTGATTTGAGGAAACAAGGCCCAAACCGTGGACTGTGCACAGAAACATGCCTGTCTCGGACAGGCCACTGCATTCCTCAGTTTTCCATTCTGTCATGCTCACTGATGCCGTGTCTGTGCCGAAGTACATGCTTCTTCCTGCCCACTGTTCCCTGGAGCAACAGCCCCTCCCTCAGCATCTCCTGAGCTTACTCACTTCTCCAGCCCTAGGACTCGCGTCCTGCCTAGTCCCATCCCCTCCTCCCCATACACACACACAGGCGAATTTGTATCCTTCTCTCTTTCCCAGCTGGGAGTACACAGAATGTTTTGCAGACTTGTTTTCCTATTTCTTCAGTTGCCATAGTCACCAACTTTGTCTATAAAGCCGTAGCTCTCCACCCTTTACCCTCGCAGCAAAAGTTGCAGTGTTGTCTTGGTGAGGCGTTTGCAGAAGGAACTTGATGGCTTTTTAATCTTTTCCTTTCTGGTGCTGCCGCCAGGAAGCGTTTCTTGCTTTCCCTTCCATGAGTCTTGACTCCACGGAGGCTTCTGACTGCAGCCTCATTTTGTTTAGAGCCTTTCCGGCAGAGCACCCCAGCCCACTGTGAGCCATTGACCTAGAAAGAGGACTGATTTTAAGAACCCATCTGCCCTAAACTGGTTCTACCTGTATTATGTTGATTGTGAGTCACAGCAGCAAACAAATTATATAATTGCAGGGAAGTGAGGCCTGTCCGATCAGCGGTCAGAAACCCAAAGCTTTCCTCCCTGTCTGTCCATCCATCTTGGCGCTACTGCAATTCCCACACCACTGGCTTTGAGAGGCTGTGTCCTGTGGCAGTTGCAGGTTCATTTGAAGTGGCATCTTGATCGCTGGTCCCTCTGTAATGATATAGTAAATGGTCAGGGAGAGAAACCATTTGTCAGCATCTCTAGCAGGAGGTTCAGTCCTGGCGTGTGGGAGGAGGGAGGCTGGAGGCATCATCCTGGGAGTCAAGAGACTTGTCCTCTGGCTTTGGCTCAGGAATAATCCATTTGCCCACCCAAGGCAAGTCCTGGTGCTTGCAGGTCCACCCTCCTCCACAGCAGGATCAGTCACCTGCCTGTCTATGCTTACCTTAGCAAATAACTCCTGGGCAAGGGCTCAGTGTGCTGGATGGAGGATTGGGACTTAATTGCGAGTGCCAGTCACAGCTTTATTTGATGTCTCTGGTTTTGGAAAACGTAGACCTGGAGTTACAAGCCTGTATAAGTTGATTCTACCTCATAACTCCTTCTCAGGGCTCCATTGTTCCCATGGGACCTCCTATTTACCCCTCCCTGTTCCATTTCCAGGTGGTGCTGTGGTTGCAATGCTGGGGTGCTAGCTGCAAGGTTAACCAGCGGCTAACCCCAGCCACTTCCTTGAGAGAAAGTGGCAGTCTGCTTCCATAGAAACCCACGGGGCAGTTCAGCCAACTTTGCCTTACTGGGTCACTGTGAGTCAGATGGACTCGATGGCAGTGGGTTTGGTTGATCCATTTCCATTCCATCGTCCACCTTAGAATCCCCTCCCTGCCGATCCACTTCTAGTCCGTCAAAGGGTGCTTTTGAAGTACTGCCTCTTTGGGCTCCTGCAGCTATAGCGACTCCTGCTCTCCCTTCACTGCTGGTAGAATTTCCCTTGATGCCAGATGTACAGCCAGTCAATTGCATGTCAACTTCTGAGGGACTCTGTTGTAGATAGATACCTGTTATCTCCTTGAAACAAAGCTTCGAGAGACAGGTGTTGTGCACCTATCTAGTGCTCGGCGAAAAATACTGATAGATGGGCGTGTGCCACAGAAGTAGGCAAAATGCTGTTCTCGGTGCATTAACAAGCAGCGTTTACAGGTCAGGAAAGGCAGGGAAGATCTTTTACCTGGCTTGGGGTAACAGTGAGCAACACGAGTCACATAGCATCTGAACGGTGCTTGGCGGCCATGGCCTCCCTGGGTGAGATGCCCGGTCTCAATCGTCCCTGCAGCCCAGGAGGTGTCGGTGCTGTGAAGCCGCCTGTCAGCAGACAGTAAGTGGTGGGAAGCCTGAGCACAGCCCATCAAGGTCAATTGTTGTGTTCATTTAGTTTTCCACAAGCCCATTTTCAGGTGCAGAAGCGGAGCAATACCCCAGTGAAACCAGATTCTCACCCAGGCCTCTCATGCTTGTCACCAGCCCCTACTGTTTGTCTCTTCTTAACGTCCTGTGTGGGCGGACGTGGCGGGCCTAGATGTGTAGGTTGGGTCCATGCGGGTGGTGCCGGGGGCCACCCTGCCACTCTCACTTGACTTGGCTGCATTCCGTTAGCCTCCAGGCGGCATGCGCTGGCCTAGTTCACACACTTTCCTGTCTTCTCTGATTTAGGGGAGAGGATCCTGGGCTATGCTGAGGAGTCCTGCTATCTCTGGTTCGTCATGGAGTTCTGTGAAGGTGGCGACCTGAACCAGTATGTCCTGTCTCGGAGGCCAGACCCCGCCACCAACAAAAGCTTCATGCTACAGCTCACGAGCGCCATTGCCTTCTTGCACAAAAACCACATCGTGCACAGGGACCTCAAGCCAGACAACATCCTCATCACTGAACGCTCCGGCTCCCCTGTCCTCAAGGTGGCTGACTTTGGGCTGAGCAAGGTCTGTGCGGGGCTGGCCCCACGAGGCAAAGAGGGCAATCAAGACAACAAAAATGTGAATGTGAATAAGTACTGGCTGTCCTCGGCTTGTGGCTCGGACTTCTACATGGCCCCAGAAGTCTGGGAAGGACACTACACGGCCAAGGCTGACATCTTTGCCCTGGGCATTATCATCTGGGCAATGATCGAGCGGATCACTTTCATTGACTCTGAGACCAAGAAGGAGCTCCTGGGGACCTACATCAAGCAAGGGACTGAGATCGTCCCGGTTGGTGAGGCGCTGCTAGAAAACCCAAAGATGGAGCTGCACATCCCCCAGAAACGCAGGACTTCCATGTCGGAGGGGATCAAGCAGCTCCTGAAAGACATGTTAGCTGCTAACCCACAGGACCGGCCTGATGCCTTTGAACTTGAAACCAGAATGGACCGGGTCACGTGTGCTGCTTAAAATTCAGGGCAAAGCATCTTGGGTGTTTTTAAACTAGGTGAGTACTGCTGTTTATTCTGTGTGTGCCCTCATGGGGCTCTGCATCCTGGGCCCTGATCTGGGCCTCATGGAGTTGGGGGTGGGGGGCGGGTTGAGGGGTATGTAGAGGGGACACACGCACAGTTGAGGAGAGCTCCGTGCTTGCTAGCAGAGATCCCGCATGTCCCCTGCTTGGGACCTCTCAACGAGGGAGCTCTTTGGGGTGACTGGAGAAAATTTGACAATCTGAGAGGAGAGTGCCTTTGAGCTGTGTCTCTTTTAAGGTTTGTGAGCAGCACTTGCTGCTCAAGTACCAGATGCCACCGTGGAAAATGTGCAGAAGAGGTAGAGGCAATGGTTCCTCGAAAGCCTATCCCTGCTCACACCCCTGTTCTTCCTGCTTCAGGTGGTGCTTAGTGATAAGTGCAGCTTTGTTGCTTCCTCTTTTCACTCCACACTAATCCAAGCACTGCTGCTGCCGCCCCCCGCCCCCCCATCATTTCTTTGAAAGTGTGGCCTGTGATGATTGTGTGATATTCCATACGCGTACTACATGCATTCATATAACCGTACTTCTATTTTATGATAACATTTTGATAGTAGATTTTAATCGATGTAGTAGTGCATTTTCACATGGCTAAGTGTAGAGATGAGTGCATGTTTAATAGTTCTTTTTCTTTTATGGGGCCGGGGGTGTGTGTTATTTATTTCATTTGTGCTAGGCTCTAAGACAGGTATCCTCAAACTATGGCCCGTGGGCCACATGCAGCCTGCTGAGGACATTTATCTGGCCCACCGGGTGTTTCTGCCCCGTTTGTTTGTTTACTTCAAAATAAGATATGTGCAGTGTGCATAGGAATTTGTTCATAGTTTTTTGTAAAACTATAGTCCGGCCCTCCAACGGGTCTGAGGAACAGTGAAGTGGCTCCCGGTTTAAAAAGTTTGAGGACCCTGCTCTAGGATGAGCAAAAGCAGGAACTTTCCCCATCCAGCAGTTCAGCTGCGAAGACCAATGTTAATCTGTACTTATCGTAGTTCTTTGATGATGAAGAAGTACTGAGGGAAATTAATTTTTCAGAGGCTGAGGATGAATACTGTGGGCTGGTCTGTCGGTGAGATCTAAATTGCTTCCCCGGTCTTATTTTATGGACAAGGGGGAAAGAGCCTTAACCACTGTATTTAAAAAAGTCAGACTCATTGCCGTTGAGTCGACTGCGCCGGGTGCCCCAATAGGGCAGGCTGGAACTACCCCGAGAGTTTCTAGGACTGTAAGGTTTATGGGGGTAGACATCCCTGTCTTTCAAGAAGCAGCTGGTGGTTTCAAACTGCAGACCTTGCGGCATGAAACCCAAAGCGACCACTATGCCACCAGGGCTCCCCGACCACTGAATATGCTACTTATTTTCACCCATACCATGTTGCTTCATCTTTACAACTGCAAGGAGTTAAGTGTTTTTCACAGATCCTACTAATTTAAGGTCAGATATATCGTATCCACGTTTCCCCCTCCACATATCCCCCATCTTAAAAAACCCAAACCCACTGTCTGTCTCTGAGTCTGATTCCCAAGAGGTAAGGCAAGCACAGTAGCAGGTGGGTTTGAACCTGTGATTGTGCAGTTGACAGACTGGTGTCTACTCCACCAGGGCTCCTTTGAGCATACAGCAAACTGGCAGTAAGCTGAAGTCGAGATGAGGTGATCCCGAAGGCACCTTCCCTCGGTGCTCTCGGCCAGGTGCCCTCAGTTCTGGTTGGAGTCCGTTCAGAGTGGAGCTCATATGCTCGGGGCAGAGTTAGTGCCTGAGTCACCAAGTTGAATTTCCGTTCTGCAAACATTTACTGAGGACCTTTTTTGGTGCCAGGCCAACTTGTCCTTCCTACCCAGTGAATACCCTTCGAGGGCAGTACTGTGTTGAAGACCAAACCAGTGGGCTCAGATGCTTGGCCTGTACCTCCCATTTCCATCCCGTCCCTCCAACTTAGGAAAGAGCTCAAGTCTGAGTGTGCCATGGAGTGGGAAGAGGGACCTGAATGTGAGCCAGGATTCGGAGGCTGTCACAACTAAAGGGGATCAGGGCGCTCATCTGGACCGCTGCCCTGGAATCTGCCACTGTACAGGGTAAAGTTTTAGGCAAATGGAGTGGTTCCTTTAGGAGAAATGGGGTGGCCTTGAAAAAAGAGGAGAAAAGATTAGGAACTTGGTCACTGGTAAGTGATCCCAGCTGTTTGGTTCCATCGTTTGTAGTTCTGGCAGCGACATCACTGTGGGTGGTCCCTCTGGTCAGCGGAGGCCTCCTTAACCACCATACCTTATCTAGCCTTGGCTCTTGGGGCCACTTGTGCAGCCTGTGCCCAGGGCTGTAGGACGGAGCCGAGACCTGTGGCGTCAAAGGCTTCAAACCGCTGGGGTAAGACTTGTATCTGCCTTGGATTGAGGGGACCATTGACCAATCTCCCCACCCCCATCAAGCATCTTAGATGGAGAGACTGATTCCATTTATTCAGCATATGTTTTGGGAGAGTGTTTGCCAAGCTAAAGGCTATCAGAATGCTGGGAAGTAGGTGAACAATGACAGGGCGGGGCAAGTCAGTTTCTGGAGAAAGACCATCCTGCACACAATAAGCCGCTTGTTGACCTGGAGGCTGGAGCAGAGGGATCAAGGGAAGAGCAAGTGCAGGATAAAAACTGGTCAGTATGGTAGAGGATTTTAGCTTTTATGCTTGGGTGTGAGGGGAAGCCATTGTTTTCCATTGTGTGATGCCTAAGCCTTTGAAAGGATGACCTTGACAGCTGTGTTACAAGCACACTATTTTTAGCCAAGGGTGGCAGTGGGGATAAGATGGGAGGCTACTGTACTAATCCAGATGAGATCATGGTGGCTGGGGATGGGATTGATGATTGCATTTGTGTGTGTTTTGAAGTCAGAGCCAACAGGACTTCCGGCCAGAAGTAAGGGGGAAGCAAGAAAGTTGTCAAGGATGACCCTAAGGTTTCTGCTTTAAGTACTTGGAAGGATGGCGTTGTCATTAATGAGATGGGGAGCCATTGCGGGGAATGAGATTGGCTAGAGAAGGCTAGGAGGTTTTCATCCATCTGAAATAGAGCATCTGAATTCCAGACAGCGTAGGCACTTGTAAGAGCATGGAGTTCAGGGGAGCAGTAGGGCTTTAGAGCAGTGGGTCTCCACTTTCCTCATGGTGCGACCCTTTAATACAGGTTCTCATGTGGTGACCCCCAACCATAACATTGTTGTTGCTACTTCATCACTGTCATTTTGCTACTGTTATGAATTGGGCGACCCCTGTGAAAGAGGGGTCAAGACCCACAGGTTGAGAACCACTGGCTTAGAGCCTTGTGTGTAGTAAATGCACATGTATCAATTTGATAACTCAAAACCCTGCGAGGGTGGGCGTCCGCGTCAGGTTGAAGTCGGGCTGCGTGATTTTGTGTGTGAGGTAAAAGTGGAAGGAGACGTAGGTTGGAAACCTTGGCTTCCCCAGGGGAGCTCATGGCCTAGAAGGTGTGGTCCTGGGACCAACAGTCCAGGTCCGAGGCCCGCTTTGGAGGTTTCCTGGCTGTGTGACTTGAGGCAGCTTTCGCCTCTGGTGGCTCCGTTTTGTGACCCCTGTTTATCTTGCTGCAGTGATTGGGAGAGGCTCAGTCTCAGTGCCCCGTCTAAACGAGCTGAAGTCCGTGCAGGGCCGTGTTTGTTAGTCTCTTCATGAGTATGGTTTTCTCCGGTCAGTTCCCAGCTCGCTGTGTACAACCCAGTGAAACCCTGCCTGGTCCTACGCCCTCTTCACAACCAGTGTGTCAGTCCATTTTGTCAAAGGCCTTTGCCATCTTTGCTGCCCTCTACTTTACCAAGCATGATGGCCTTCTCCAGGTACTGGTCTCACATAGAATGTCCAAAGTACCTGAGCTGAGCTCTTGCCATCCTGACCTCTAAGGAGCATTGTGGCTGTACGTCTTCAAAGACAGTCCCTGGTACTTTGTGTGTTCTGCAGTAGCACCATGATTCAAATGCTTTGATAGTCTTTCGGTCTTCCTCAGTCAGTGTCCAGCACTTACATGCACATGAGGCAATTGGAAATACCATGGCTTGGGTAAGGCCAGAGCCATGTTTAGATGGGTCCTCTGACCTGAGGTGGAAGTGTCACCGCCCCTTCCAGTCCCTCTGTAGAGCGTGGTCTTGAGTCACCTGGCCTCAGAGCATCCTCAAATGGCTTTTCTCTTTAAAGGAAAGCTGTGTTCCAACCCAGCTTAATCTCTGGTCATCCTTCCCTACCCCCTCCCAGTTTTAAAGATGACTTAAGGATAGGCCTCTGCCCTTCCTTTGTGCTGTGTTAGATTCCCAGGGGCTCCCACCGCCTTCCCCGATGCCCCCACCCACATGTCACCAGGGCGGGAGCTGTGCAATGAGGGCAGCTGCATCCTCGGCCAAGTCTGCCGTCTCCAACACAGACCTGTGTTGTTAGGGCCTGTTTGAAGCCCAGGCCCTTGAGTGACGTGTGTTTGGGAGAGGGTAGCTAAGGCTGAAGGATGTCAGCTGTTGGTGTGACCCGAGGAGTCAGGGAGAGTAGTCTGCTCCAGATGAGATCTTGGCAGCTGCCCAACTCCAGAGAAAGAACATGGGCCTCGGTTCTTGTTGCGGCCACAGAGGATGCCTGCTCTACTGAAGCCCAAATTACCAATTCCAGTTCACATAGCCCATTGCCTCCTTTCGCCTGGAATCTTACCACTCTAGGCGCCAAGTTAATCACCACCGCTATTAAAAACGTTTAAAAAAAGGTCTTCATTACTGCGTGGTGAGTGAGTTTCCAGCAGCAGTGCAGGAGTCAGTCTGTGAAGGGACAGAGGCGAGAGCTCGGAACAGCTAGTGGTCTTCTCTGGGGTGACGACTTGTCTCGTGTGATGGCTGGGCGCTGGCCTAGGCGCCCCAGGCTGTGCAGGTTGGGCTCCCGGGATGAAATGCTTTAGAGCCACTATCTCACTTAGCTGCTCTCAAGTAGTTTCCC